TAGACTACAAAAATAATCAGAAAATATAAATAAAACCGTTTCCCCGGCAACGACGCCAAATTTTGACAGGCTAAAGTCGTAATCACCCAATAAAAAATAATACCTAAATCCACTAACTATGTAGATAAGGAAGAAGGGTCGAACCACAGGGAAACGAGTTAATTTATTCCTAATAAATCAAGAGTAATCTAAATTATCAAGTTGCCAATTTTTTTATTGTAAAAAGGAATTAAACTACGGAGATCAAGTTTAAGTAGAAATTCAATGATAAAAGCCTTAGGGTAACAGGTTCACCAATAATTAATATTCCGGGATAAAACCTAACAACCAATAATTAACATTGCACAAATAACATGATTAACAGGCTCTCGCAATTTATTAATCAACATAGATCTAACAGGCTCTCGCAATTTACTAGATCTAAGCTCCTATTGAAAATAGCCTTTAATATTAAATTAACATCTGCTCGATTCATCAATTCAATATTGCTAAACTTTTACAAGCAAATCACATCTGCTCGATTCATAATTCGATTGTAAAGCGTTAAAATAATTCAATAATAAATTATCATGCAATATCAATAATCAATAATAAAAAATTATCCCTTCATATTAATTATGGATTCCCCAAAATCTTAAAATTAAACTACTCACACATAATTGAATCTAAACTAAATAAAGAAATTAAAGGAGACATGATGAATTAAAGAAATAGAAATACTGAAATTAATAAAGAGGAAAATGTTACCAAAGTTATCGCAAACAAGGAGTTGAATAAGAACAAAGTATGGAATTTGTAGAGAGAGAGAAATAAACTAAGTAGAGAGAGAAAGTCTAAGAGAAGAAGTCCTAAGCAAAAGCATTACAATCTTACTTAAACCATAATCTAAAAATTAATCCTAATTAGAAACTAAGAAATCGCCGAAGATGCCTCCCTAGAAACACGCGCCCGATCGGGTGAAGGGTCGCCCGATTAGGCCCGCCTTTTTCTTCGCCCTCTTATTCTGGGCATCCGCCCGATCGGGCTCGGCTTCACCTTGGAGCTTTGAACTTCGTTTGGGCCTTAATTATTACTTATCCCAATCTAGATATCCACTTAGGGGCTTTAACCACTCGGTCCAATGCTCGTATTTCACATGTTGAGCCCTTAATCATCGGCTCGATGACTCTAATCGGCCTTGGGCTACAAAAAGCGGTCTTGCTCCTCCATTGTCCGTAGTTGCTCCGTGAAGACCCGGGAAAATGCTCCAAAAGTGCAATTCCCTACAAAACTCAACCAAAACTACGAAATCACTAGAAAACACCAATTAGTAATAAAAGTGGCTCTAACGAGCCAAAAACACTACCAATTATGACCAAGGGACGGGGGTAAAACACCATATAAAATAGACATATCACCGGGTCAGTCGATGGTTGGAATTAAAGATGGGCTGGACTTAACCAAAGGCCCAATATGAAGAAAGGATTGGTTTGGAGGCAAAAGTAGACATTATGATTTTCAAAGATAGTTGGTGCCAAGAAGTAACTACAAAATAGTTATTGGAGTCAGCCACAACCTCTCTAATTATTCTATAAATATAAGCAAGAGGAGCGTATGAAGAGGATGAGCAAATCCTAGCATACGCAAAACTAGTCATACGATATAATAAACCTTGTTATCGGGTCGTTCGAGCCGGGTACAAGTTGGGTCATTTTGGGTTTGAGGTTTGTTCGGGTATAGATAATCAGGTTTAGGTAGAGATGGAAATAGATCGGTTTCAGGGAGAGTGGATCATAACCTGCATCCATCCACCCCACCCCACCCGATCCATCAATCATCCAGGGGTGAAATGGACGATTCAGGTGATAATAAGATGTACAATATGAGCATTTAAAATTAAAATAAGAATTACATAACATTTAGTGCATTAACAGTGTCATCGTCTCATGGAATACCTTAAGAATGGAGGCTGTTGTCGTTTTCCATGCTGTAGTGGCGCCACCGTGACTCTATGTGAGATAGTAGTGATAGCAGTGTTTTTTTGAAATATTATAGTTTAGGAATTAGGAGATTAGCTTAGGAATTACAATATTGAAATATTCGGTTGGGCCTAGCCTAGTATAAATTAAATTCAGAAATAAAAAAAAATTTGTTTTTTTTTTAAATGTTCAGGTGATGGGTCGGGTGAACGAGTTGAGTGATGGGTGAAAATTAACAACCCGAATATGATCCATCATCCGCATCCGTTAATCCGTCACCCACCTAACACCCGTTTAAACCGCGCTTTTCACCCGTCCAATAAGGTGACTGGATATGTCCATCAGTAGGTTTGGGTTGGGTATCATGTTTAGGCTTGGTCACTTCAGGTTCGGGTCGAGTGAAGTTTGGGTAAAGTCATCTCGGGCTGGGGTTCTCGATCAAGCTCGAATCGGGATATTAACAATTGTTATTGTTATAATTGTTAGGATTAATATAATTTTTAAAGGAGTTATAGGATTTAATTAATTCATGGAAAGATTTTCCAAAAGGAAATTGGACGAAAATTCAGTAAGAGCATGGTTTTCTCAACATTATTGTTTGACATCAAACAACCCTAACAACCTAGCAAGATGGTTAGCTACAAAATTACCATCTCACTTTTCATGAGTGATGAGACCAAACAATAGACGAAAAAAGCTACTAGACAATACATTGTCTTGTAGAACACAATCAACATTAGTGCAAGAAATATGCCTTTAATCTGATTTCCGGTCTTAGAGTGAGCGATATAGCTCGCGACGTAGCTCAGTAGTTTGTAGGCAATTTATAGGTTGCGACGAAATTGGAGCTATATCTCCTATACGAGCGAGCTATAGCTCGCGGAGATCAATAGATGTGGATATATGGGTCGAGGGAGATCTCGGTCACGTGCAAAACAAGAAGTCGCGTTCAAGTTTTGAAGTTGCGAGCGGCGTTTAATGCTGAGGCGGTAAGCACTTTTCTACGTGTCTATTTATCTTTTATATATCGAGTGGTTATTCTAAAACCTGAGTCTTTTGTGTATTTCTCTTCTATGATTTTTCAAAGAGATAACAATAGAAATATGAGAGACAATCAATTTATTTTCTATTATTGCTCTCAACTGTTCTGAACCTGTATTATGTTTTCTCCAAGATCAATAAAACTATTATTCTCGCCGGCACGTGGGCGTAACAAATATACTTCATCAGCATTATTCGTGAAAATAGAAAATGAAGCAGAAAATTTAGATTTTCAAATGTTACAATAGATATATTAGGAGATCGGAATTGATTCTTTTTTAAGATCATTTTGTGCTTTTTGTCGATCATTTGATTCATTTTCTTCAATCGAGCTTCCATAATTTTTCATGGTTACTGTAGATAAATTTGGGGAAATTGATTCATTTTGTCGAATTTTTATTGCATTTTGTTCATAATTTGATTCATTTTGTTGATCATTCGCCGAGTTTTGTTCTATCCAACTTCGAATTTTCTAGTTGATTTTTTGGACAAAAATCTCGCTGTTAAAGCCTAGGTTTTTCATTTAATGTTATATAAGACCGCGTGTTCGTTTAGCGCTTTTTTAAGTTAAGCATTAAATGTTAAATTTATTCAATGACTCGCGAAGCTGTACACAATTTGAAAAAAAATATGTTAGAGCATACTTCCTCTGTTCTTTTTTACTTGACCTGTTTCTTTTATTACGCTTGCCAATGCAAAACTTTAACGGTCAATAACTTTAATTCTCCATAATTAAAAAAATACTAAAGTTACATATTATGATAGTACTTATTGAGACGAATTCAAAATGATCCAATATGAATATGTTTTTCCTTACATATTATTCACAAAACACGGTCAAAGGAGGGGTGGTGAATAGTGTAAAAGTCAAAGCGGGTCAAGTAAAAAAGAACAGAGGAAGTATGTTATAATTTTTTTTAAAAATAAGAGACGATAGTATGTGAGAAAAACTCAAGAGAATTTGGATGAAAATAAAACGCAGAGAGAAATGACATCCTTATTGGCCGACTGGCCGCTCATTATATATTGTCCGAGGGACTTTTAAAACATTATTTCTGTTTTTTTTCTTTTTCTTTGTATTATACAAATCTAGCATCTTTTATAAGTGGGATAAATTATTATTAAAAGGAAAATTTTTTATTAATAATATAACCTTTGGCCCTTTTTTAAATAAAACAATCTTTGGACACTACAAGAATAAGGTTAAATAGCGACGGAAATTTTCCCTTGCAAAAAGGCCAAATTTCGTCGCAAATAGCATTTCCGACAGAATTCCGTCGTAACTGTCCGTCGCAAAATGTTTCGTAGGAAAAAAAAGAATTTCCGAGGGAAATTCCGTCGCAAATGTCTTTTGCGACGGAAATACCGACGGAATAACATCCGTCGCAAGAAAATCTGACTTTCAAGTATTATCCATCGCAGATTTACGACGGAAAAATCCGTCGTTGAATAATATTTTACGACGGAAAAATCCCTCGCTGAAGGTCAATATTTGCGACGGAATTGTTTTCGTCGGTAATTTGCGACGGAAAATTCCCTTGCTAAAATATTATTTGCGACGGAACAATCCCTTGCTGAAATATTATTTGCGACGGAAAATTCCCTTGCTAAAATATTAATTGCGACGGAAAATTCCCTTGCAAAAATATTAACTACGACGGAAAATTCCCTCGTTATTATATTAATTGCGACGGAAGTTAAATCCCTCGCAAACTTTTAACTTTTGCGAGGGAATTTTCCGTCGTTAAGGATTGTGTCAGCAACGGAATATTCTTCATTTTTCCGTCGCAAATCAATTTCGACAAACTAAATATTAATTATTTCCGTCACATAATATATTTCACAAAGCCAAAATTCTAGTTGTCCAGCATTAATAACCTATGTTCCTGCAACTAATACCTGTGAAAATTAAAATCATAAACCAATTTTGGAAATATAAATATATATATTTCCACCAAAAGCTATTATGAAGTTAAACATATCTAAAAGCTACATAATGTATAGTAATTCTACAAAAGCGGGAAAATCATCAAATGCTACATAAATTCTAATTAACTACTTGTCCGTACTACATAAACCTAAGCTAGGCTAAAAAACTGCAGGGGTACCCTGGCTTGCTCCTCCACTACCCGGGTCATCCCTAGGGTCTCGTCGCTGAGGCTGAATGGTGGAACAGGTGTCGTTGCCAAATCGTCTGATGAAGTCATTCCACCTCTCCTCAGCTCTCCTTTCCATTTGGGCTACTTCAGCTTGAATTTGAGCTTGCATCTCAACTTCCATTTCACTCCGAAGTTCACTTCGTATTTCACTTCGGAGTTCATTGCGTATCTCACTACGAAGAGCCTCCACCCTATGGTCCATCTGGTCTTGCATCTGACTAACAACAAACGGTGTGTACTGTTGTGAAGGCCTAGAACCTCGACCCGTCCGGTTTCCAAAGTACAGCTCTGCACTTTGGCCAAGTCCCCTCACTCGACCCTTCTTGTTGCAACCACCCACACTCTCCCAAAACAACTCATTAGGACTCTTTTTAATCCCTTGAGTGGTGGCTTCTTCAACATTCTTCTGGTAGTTCTCCTACAAGAAAGACATTACACAATAATATATAGTTTAAACAATTACCCAACAACATAAGTTACAAGTAAAGCAAATAAACATATAAGTGAAGACTTGAAATCACATAAAAGTAGCAAATTTATAAGTTTTTGGGTCCATATCCTCAAAATGAAGCCATTTCAGGCCAAAATGGGTACTTACATGCCTATTTTCTTTATTTCTTAACTTTTGAACTCATTCTTTCTTAAACCATCCCATATTTACATATTTATAAGAGTTTATGACTTGAAATCACATAAAAGTAGCAAATTTATAAGTTTTTGGGTCCATATCCTCAAAATGAAGCCATTTCAAGCCAAAATGGGTACTTACATGCCTATTTTCTTTATGTCCTAACTTTTAAACTCATTCTTTCTCAAACCATCCCAAATTTACATATTTATAAGAGTTTATGACTTGAAATCACATAAAAGAAGCAATTTTACTAAGTTTATGGTTCCATATCCTCAAAATCAAGTCATTTCAAGCCAAAATGGGTTCTTACATGCCTATTTTCTTTATTTCTTAACTTTTGAACTCATTCTTTCTCAAACCATCCCATATTTACATATTTATAAGAGTTTATGACTTGAAATCACATAAAAGTAGCAAATTTATAAGTTTTTGGGTCCATATCCTCAAAATCAACCCATTTCAAGCCAAAATGGGTACTTACACGCCTATTTTATTTATTTCTTAAATTTTAAACTCAATCTTTCTCAAACCATCCCATATTTACATATTTATAAGAGTTTATGACTTGAAATCACATAAAAGAAGCAATTTTACTAAGTATATGGTTCCATATCCTCAAAATCAAGTCATTTCAAGCCGAATTAATGTCCTCAAAATCACATAAGCAAGCAAATGTACTAAGTTTAATGGTCTATATCTTTAAAGTGAAGCCATTTCAAGCCGAATTAATATGTTTAAAGCCAAAATTATATTAAAGTTGTTACCGCAATGTTCTTGACTTTGGCATTTGCTGGCACCTTTCCTTTCCCAGGGATCTCCTTGAAGTGTGTCTTCATGAAAAGATCATGTGCAGTTGGTAACTGGCCATTGTTTTTCGCCGCCTTTGAACGTACATGCACCAAACCAAATTAAGCTTATCATTTCAATGTAACCATAATTGTTGTGTTTTTCAATTGCCTAAAAAACAAACTCACCATCCTTTTAGCATGTTGTGCAGATGAAATTGAACCCTGGTAATGGGTTGGCTCAACCACATTGTCCATCGATCCGCCTCTTCTTTTCTTCTTGTTTTGTGCGGACCTCTTCTTGTAGTCTTCATCATTTTCCAAAACGTCCATCATATCCTTGTGGACTTCATCGATCATCCATCTTGGCTTCTTACCGTTCATCCTGTGTGTGACTGCGTGAAACATGTCCTTCAGCCGATCTGCGAACTTGACTTCGAAGGTTCGCTTCACGTGGTCGTTTAAATCAGGTGCCCATGTGCATTTTTTCTGCATATAAAAAACATTTAAAATTATCAAACACAACTCCATCAATACATTTAGTAATACATAGCTATAAGTATAAAATGTCATACGCAAAACAAGTTCCACCAATGATCCTTCGTCTTCTTATCAACCTCTCCGTAATTCCTCCAAGCAGCTCGATAGTAACCTGTTAGGGTGTTAGAAACGACGTTTCTCACAGGTTTATCGTCAAACCTATTTTAATGTGAATCATGAACAAATAATAAATAAATAGTTTATGTTAGAGTAATACATAGGTCAGTGATAAGAAATATGGGTAGAAAGGGAATGAAATTACAACTACATACATACCAGCAAGTGGCAGGGTCTAATACCACCAACTTAGAAGACTGTGAGGCTTGTTGCCCCTGAAGCTGTTTCTCATGATGATGTATCTGCATTTGTGTTTGAGGATCCTCATTGTCACCCAAATCTACCGCGTCCTCCACGTCCACCATTTCCTTGTCGTCATCATAAATGACAACTTGCCTTTTCTCCTTTCCCTAATTTTTCTTTGATGATTCTCCTTTTTTCCCTCCCACCATTTCCACCTGAAAAAGATGTCAGTCACATGCCATGATATTATTAACATTATAAAAATTACAAGTATAATGAGATGTAACAAGATTAACAATAAAACTACAAACTCTTTAATTGATTTTACAATGACAATCAAATTCAACCGACAATTACACAACTACAAGCAAATTTAAGTATTCATTTTACAGTAACAAATTAAATTCGATCTCCTAGTCATGACTTTCATCGCTACTATCACTACTGGCATCATCACTACTATCATCTAAAACCACATCGATCTCATCATCCTCGTCACTATCACTAGAGTCGACACTTGATTCATCATCTTCATCGCTTGAGATTATTAAGCCGCCATCATCATCTTCGTCATCATCCTCAACTAGGTCATAGTCAGGAATGTCATTCGGTGGACAAAGCGTTGCATGGACTTGTGGAGACGGTGCCTGCATAAAATCAAGGTCCACTGGAGCATCAACCACTGACCTTGCTTGTGTTTTAAACACAGCCCACCATTGAACTCGATCTCTTTTTAGGCTTGGGTAGGATGTGTAGTACACTTGGCTCACTTGATAAGATAATACGAAGGGATCATACTTGGGGTATTTCTTAGTATGATTCACTTCGACTAGCTTGTATTGTTCATGTATGTTCATACCCCTACCACAATCCATCCAACTACACTTAAACAAAATAGTCTTGTACTCTTTTTTTGGACCAGTGTAGACAAGTTCAATTATATCATCTAGAATGCCAAAGTACTCTCCACCGTCATCACTAGACACACATACACCATAATTCATCGTGGACTTGTGTTTGCCATGGGAATGTGTATGGAAATTAAATCCACCAACAAAAATCTGCCTCCAATTTCGAACACGCTTGAAAGGAAGCATGCACAATGCTTTCAGGACATCTGAATTTGGTTTCTCTTCAACCACCTATTTACGTCACAATTCAATAATTAATTAAAGTGAATTGCAAGATCTAAAAAGCATATGTAAAGAGCTAGAACATTTCTATCACCTTATGGTGAAACCAATCAGAGAATTCGGTGTCACATTTCTCCATAACTTCTTCTCTACGCAAAAACGGTCGGGAACTAAGAACGTAGTCCTCAAACTTCCTATTAGGTCAATGATACAAGAGAAATAAGTAATTCAACCATTTTAATTCTTCAGAACTATGAATAAAATTCATTCTTTAACACATATACCTTTCGTATTCACCAAGAATGCCGCAGTTTCGTAAAACAAACAAATGAGCACACTCGAGTTCTTTTTCATCTAAATACCGAGTTTTACCCTCAGTTGAGACACGACCGGTATCCACCGAGAACAACTCTGGTAAGTCAGCGTTGTCCATTGTTGATTCCACGTCTACATTTACATTTCGACCGAGATCCCGAGTTTTTGTGTCAACTGACGGCTGAAAGTAATTTGAGCAAAAGTTTGCTATCTCTTCGGTGAGATAAGCATTACATATGGAACCTTCAACTCGAGCCTTGTTCCCAATTTTACGTTTCAAGTGATTAAGGAACCTGGCATTAAATTAGTATAAATAATTGTGTAAATAGGTCATGACTATGAAGGTTTTTTATGAAAGAGAAAGTGAAGGGGACTTTGATTTACCTTTCGAAGGGATACATCCATCTGTATTGAACAGGACCACATAATTTTCCCTCATATGGCAAATGAGTAGGTAAATTCTCCATGGAGTTGAAGAATGCCGGAGGGAACACCTTCTCAAGCTTGCAAAGGATTTCAGCTATGTTTTTCTCTAATCGCTCCATGTCACCAACGGTGATTGTGTAACAACACAAATCACGGAAGAATTGACTGATCTCTGTAACTGCATTCCAAATATGGGTAGGGAGTAATTCCCTCAAAGCAGTAGGCAACAACCTCTCCATGAACACATGGCAGTCGTGGCTTTTCATACCATGAAGCTTACAACCTTGTAAATCTACGCATCTGCTCAAATTAGAGGCATATCCATCTGTAAAACGCAACTGTTTAACCCAGTCACACAACACTTTTCTTTGAGCCTTATCAAGAGCAAATGGGGCTTTTGGCATGTACTCTTTTCCCCTACCGTCCTCTTGCAGATGAAGTTGTGGCCTTTTACAATATTTAGCTATGTCCTTTCGAGCCGATGGCGTGTCACATGTCTGTTTTTTCACATCCATAATGGTGTGGATTAACTGATCAAAGAATTTCTTTTCAATGTGCATGACATCCAATTTGTGATGGATGAGCAGATGCTTCCAATAAGGAAGCTCCCACAACGAGGATTGCTTGAACCACCCTTTTTTTGCTCTTTTGAGATGTTTCAATGCCTCCAGCCCATCAGTTGCCCTTGGAAGGAAGGTGTCTCACACATTCCCACAATTCCTCACCTGACATGATGTGTGGCGGTGAACCTTTTTCGACTTTGTTTTTACAAAACGCAGTTTTACTATTTCGAAAAGGGTGATCTGTTGGAAGGAATTGGCGATGGCAATCAAACCAAGAAACTTTGCCACCGTGTTCAAGCCAGAATGTTTTGCTTTTATCCATACAATAAGGAGAAGCGTTCTTACCCGCTGTGGTCCAACCAGACAACATACCGTAAGCTGGGAAGTCACTAACAGTCCAAAGGATGGCTGCTCGAAGATTGAAATTTTGTTTCCTCGAAATGTCATAAGTATTTGCGCCTACTTCCCATAATTGTTTCAACTCTTGTACCAACGGTTGCATATACACATCCAAATTGCCCTTAGGGTTCTTAGGACCAGGAACGAGCAACGAAAGGAACATGAATTGTCTTTTCATACACATTGAAGGAGGCAAGTTATAAGGGGTCAAAATGACAGGCCAACAGGAATATTGTCCCCCAAACTTACCATGCGGAGCAAAACCATCTGTACACAAGCCAAGTCGAACATTACGAGGCTCATTGGAAAATTCTGGAAAGCATCTATCGAGGTGTTTCCAAGCTTCACTATCACTAGGGTGCGCCATTGTGCCTTGAACTCGAGGATTTTTTGAATGCCATGTCATTTCCTCCGATATGTTCTTGGTTGCATAGAGCCTTTGTAATCTCGGTGTGATCGGAAAATAAATTAAAACATTCAAAGGCACTAAACTACCTTTAGAAGTCTTTTTGTATCGGTCGCTACCACACACCCTACATGTAGATAGCTGAACATCATCCTTCCAAAACAGCATACATCCTTTCAGACATGCATGAATCTTTTCATGAGGCAACTCCAACCCCTTCACAATATTCTTCACCTCATAGAATGTGTTGGCCATATTGTTATTGTTAGGAATCGCCTCATTGACCAAAGAAGCAAACCCGTCAACACATCTATGGGGTAAATTATACTCACACTTAAGACTAGTAATTCGAGCAGCCATCTGTAACACAGACAATGAACTTCCTTCGTATAATGGTCTTTCGGAAGCCTTTAACAAATCTAGGAAATGCTTAGCTTGTGCATTAGGCTCCTCCTCTGCCTCTTCTGAATGCCCTTGATCTTCATTATGACCAAAAGCATCGAAAACCATTTCACGGTATTCATTTAACGGTCCTTCAGGAGCTCCCGGAAAGCCTTCCCCATGACACATCCACTCATAGTAATTAGGTATGAAACCCTTGCGCTACAAATGAATTTTAACAGTTTCCGCATCCCAAAGTCGTTTGTTCTTACATTTAAAACATGGACACCTAACTTCATTCGGGTTGCTACTCTCGGGATGGTCTTCCACGTATTTAAGGAATTCATCAACCCCTTTCACAAATTCCGGATTAATAGAATGCCCAACCTTCCTTTCATACATCCAACTACGTTCTGTTCGTTTCATGATTACAACTTCTACACAAACTCATGAATATGTATAATCACATTAGTCACAACGCGTATTGAATATTCATTAACCATCTAAATGTTAAAAATATGATAATAAGATTGTACATGATGTCCAAAGGTCCTTATCACTCCAACCTAACCCATCCTTGGACATTTAATCTCACTAGCGAATGTATGCCAGGTTATCAATTCTATGGAAAATCCGGCAGCATTTCCCTTATGTTCTCCAAGTACACGATGTAGGCTATTAGATAACCCGTCATATGTACCCAGAGAACATTGTAGAGAAATGATTAGCCAGGATATTCCCTAGAATCAATAACAAGGCATACATTCACCACCTAAGTGAGAATAAACGTCCAAGGACAGTTCCAACCGGGGACTATCCAAGACATACTCCTAATGAGTATGCCTTGAACGGGTATCTAGGAAAATGATGATGCAAATGATTCATTCATAAATATATCAAGTAAATATAACACGCTCATTTAAAAATATGCCAAGCAAATTACATAACACAATCATTATAAGTAAACCAAATATATCATAATCATAATTAAATTTATATAAACAATTATATAGTAATCATTACATTTAAAATTATATAAAACAAATATTTTTTACTAAATTAACTAACATGCATTAAATTAAACTAACATACATTATATTAAACTAAACAAAACTAACATACATTATTAAATAATAATAAATTAAACTAAACTAACATACATTATTATAATAAACTAAATCAATGTAAACTAACATATCATGCGGTACATTTTTATAATAAAATATCAACCTAAACTAACATATCATGTCATACATTATTATACTAAACCAAACAAAATTTACATGTCATGTCTTACATTATTATAAAACTGCCAAACCAAATTAAACTTAACTAACATATCAACCATTATTATTTATTATAATAAACCAAATCAAACCAAACTAACATTTATCTAAGTCACTAACATGCCAAGTATAAACTAAAATAACAATTTTAGAAATTAGAATGTCACGAACCTATAGATCTGCACTTTTTATTGAGATTCAAAGCAAGGCAAAGATACAAATCCTACAAATATTAACAATTAAACATTAATTAAGGTGTAAAATGTCAATATTTATTTTAAAAAAATGAAAAAATAAGTCAAATTATGTTCAGAGTTCTTACCAGCGGGAGGATGAAGGTGGTGGTGGTTCTGGTAGGAGGCGGAACGGTGGAGCCACCTGAAACAAAAGGGGTGTTAGGGTTAAATAAAAAAAATTAAAATTAAAACATAAAAATAAATAAATAATAATAAAAATACCTCACCGGCGCTGCAGCCGGAATTCTCGGAATGCCGCCGGCCGGGTAGGTGTGACGGCGGCTGCTACAAGCCGGTGGTGGCTGTTCACAAGCCCCGGTGGTTAGTGCGAATTTAAAAAAAAAAACAAAAACCTAACACCGGAGGTTACCGTCGGGGAGAACGGCGGCAGCGGGATCCGGTGGTCAGGCGGAGGCGCGCTCAGGCTGAGGCGACGGCGGCGGTCAGGCGGAGGCGCGTCTTCTTCTCTTTCTCTTTCTTTCTCTCTCTTTCTCCCTTTCTTTCTTTCTTTCTTTCTCTCTCTTCCCCCGTGTTTTTTCCCTGGTTCTTTCTGGTTTGAAACCTAATTTCTAGTTCAAGTATTTGCGACAGAATTTATTTCGTCGGTAATTATTTTCCGACGGAAAATTCCGTCGCAATAAATTTTGCTACGGAATTTTCCGTCGTAAAATTAATTTTTCGACAGAAATAAATTCCGTCGTAAATTTTGCGAGGGAATTTCCGTCGCAATTCACATTTTCCGACGCATTTTAGCAACACACTTAATTCCGTCGCTGAAATTAAAGTTTGCGACGGAAAAATAGGTCCGTCGTAAAAAATCCGTCGGTATTAAGCCATTTTCTAGTAGTGGGATCTGAATATTACAACCTTTTGGGGTCTCTACTTTAAGCAAGACAAAACCGGATGTAACCTGATAAACAGGTTAATATATCCACGGGTCGCTATATGATTGGTTTAAATAATTTTTTTTCCTGTTCTCTTTCCTTTCCCCAAACATCACCGTTGCTCCATCTCCGATAACCCGTCTTCCTCCCAAACCACCGACAAATGTGTCGTCAATCTAGCCCTTTAACCGTCGTTCCCCATTGCGACCACCACCTGTCTGAAACCTTACCCCAAAAAACCGCCCCTCCCTAAACCCAGCCCCAAAAACCAGAAACCCAGCCTCAAAAAGCCGCCTCTCCCTGAAACCCAACCTTGAAAACCAGAAACCTGGCCCCGAAAACCCAGCCTCGAACCGCAGCCTTTCCCAGCCACTACTTGCTCACCCCAAAATTCACAAGCCTCGACCCCCTACCCCTCCACGAGCCCAAAACGACCACCATTATCAAACCCCCTTAAAACAGATCGAGGTCAAGGTCGGGGATAGCAGGTTAGCAATAGGGTTGTTGGTTAGGGGTAGGTGGTTAGGGAGATGGTATTGAGAGTGGTGGATGGTCATAAGGTCGGTTGATTGATGACAGCGAGGGAGGAGGATGGTTGGCAGTGGGATGATATTTTTTTTTTAAAAAAAAAAAAAATTTGTTAAATCCAATAATTTTTTTTAAGAAATTTTTTTTAATAATTTAAACCAATTATATGACGACACACGTTATGGGTAACCTGCTACACAGGTTATAAGTTTTTCCGCCTTATTAAAATTGAAACCCCCTAAAGGTTGTAATATTCATGTATAACCCAAAAGTTGTATTATTTATAAAAAAAAAAAGGCCTAAAGGTTGTATTATTTTTGGCAATTTTTCCTTATTAAAATTAACTTTGAATCAACTAAAATAAATTTATTGATATAATCATGAAAAAAATTTAAATGTATTTTTCTAATAACTTACAAAACAAATACTTGGAGGGAACTTGATTTTGAAAAGTTGATTGATATAATCATTAATTTTTGAAAAGCTGATTGATATAATCATTAATTTGAATGTAATTTTATTTTGGAGGGAACTTGAAATTTTTTAAAAGCTGATTGAAGGTGTGTAATAAAAATTTGAAATCCATTTAAAATATTTGGAATGGAGGGAAATCTAAAAAAGTTGACAGATTTCCCACTTGTAGCGTACTGTTTGACAATTAAGTGCAAGTGGGAAGGTCAACCCCATGTGCTTAACTTATTAATTTAAAGTTAATAAATTAAAGTACCCACTATATTCTCTATCTTCTTTCTTAAAATGTGTGCCAAGAGTTATGAGACATTTATTTAGAAACGGAGGAAGTATAATTCAGTGAGAAATAACAATGTATTTTGCTATGAAAATAATTATGAGTATAATTTTTATTTGGTAAGTCATTAATTTAGTGTATATAGAGCTGTCAGTTTCTAACCCGAACCGTTAAACCCGACTATTTCGAACCGATCCGAAAGGAAACTGAACTGTTAAAAGTTCTTTTTTGAAAATCGAAAACCGATCCGATCCGATTGTTTCAAACCCATAACTGAATTGAATCGAATAGTTGCAAACCGTTATTACCCAAACCTGTTATCAAATCGAACCGTTATAACTCGAAACCGAGAGCAACCTGAACCGATTACGTCCGAACCCGATAGTAACCCAACCAAATTTAAACCGAAACTGGCTAAACCCGACTAAAAAATATTATGACTGAACCGCTTATAACGCGTTACCCGTTGTGACCGAACTGTTTACAACCCGAAACCCATTGTGACCGAACTGTTTACAACCCGAAACCCGTTGTGACCGAAGTTTTTACAACCCGTAACCCATTCTGACCAAACTGTTTACAACCCGTAACCCGTTCTGACCGAACTGTTTACAACCTGTAACCCGTTCTGACCAAACTTGTACCACTCACAACGCATTACCCGTAATAATCGAACCGTTATAATCTACAACCCGTTACGACCGAATCGTTTACAGTCCGTAATTCATTATGACTGAACTATTTACAACATGTAAATCATTTTGTCCAAACCTTTTACCACCCGCAACTTGAATTACCAAACAACTTCATCCAATAGCCCATTACATCAAAATTCTTTACCAGTCACAACGTCACAAGGCCATATATCATATATAATATCATATCATATTATACATAGACATGCTTAATGTATTGAATGTAATAGTGTTACTCTTCCCACACCTTTTATTTTATGTTTTTATTAAAAAAAAACAAAAAAACAAAAAATCAAAGATAGTGTACTTGGGTTATTATTTATTAATGTATTGTATAAAGTATCAACTAAAACATTTTTGGGATTAGAAGGCAATTAAAGTTGCTATGTGAAACAATCTATGTAATGGCCATCATTAGGAGGGTTTCACTATATATATATATAAATATATTGACAATAACAAGTTTAATAAATAGACACAAAACTAAGTATTTACATACTACAATTTTTCGAAATTAAAATCGCATTGGATAAAGAAATGGATAATACATTAATACCTAAAAAACACTTATATCATAACTAGGAGAAAATCAGATCATTTCATACAAGTACATATACAACCAAAAGCATCTTTTATGATGCATAAATTAAGTTTAAATTGCAACCATAGAGGAAATAGCTCAATATCAATTACAAAAGCCACCAGTAAGGGTAGACAGAAACCAAAGATCAATTAGTTTTTAGTTATTTACTATTTAGTAATTAGTTAGTCACCATACAAAATTCTCTATAATACTTTTGAGCTTAACAACAAAAGGTGAACATAGCCTAAGCCTAAAATATACGGCTTTTTAATAAATACAAAATGTGACCATAATGCCATGTTGAAGTAGCAGCAATGAACATTTGATTGCGCCCCCTTTACTTGTAAAGAACTGAAAGCAAGAGCATAAAAACGATAAGAAATGAAAAAACAGCAGTTAAATATTAATAAGAACTGAAAGCAAGAACATAATAACGATAAGAAATGAAAAAAACAGCAAGTAAATATTAGAAGAAATTTGGGAAAAAAAAAAAGAGAAAAATTGTCTAAAAGACTACCTCAAGTAGATGATGTACAACTTTCAGTTACTTCTTCCTTACTGATTAAAATACATCTTCATCAATTTCGGTATCATAACCGACTAACCGAGATACCAGTTCTGAGTGGTAACTAACATCTTAACGTTTTTAGGAAGAAGAGCACCCCTATACTTAGTCAAAATACAACCACCCATGCTAAATGATGATTCAGAGGCAACATATGTTCATAGAATAGCCAAAACATCCCTAGCAACTCCAGCTAATGTGGGATACCTCTCAACTTCAGATTTCCAGTACCGGAGAACATCAAACTTTTCTTTCACAACCAATTTTTTCCGAGGTGTAACCAAATAAGCATCAAGATCATCTGTTGGATTTAAAACCGAACCATCATCATCATCAATAGCACCACATAACTAACATAATGATTAAAAAGAAACAAAAAAATAACAAGTTTAATAAATTTAAACAGATCAAACACGCAAAATTAATGATAAATAATAGCAAAAGTATTCACTTAACAAATAATCAAACTTGAAAAATCATTAAATTGTAAACTAAAACACAAATATTCACCTGATATATAGTTGATAGTTTAAAAGATCGACCATCATCGTCTTTACCATCATCAAATTCATTATAGGGTCTGCTAGTCTTTTGCTTTGAGCTAGAAAGAGGCGCTTGAGCGGAATAGAAAGAACACAATTCACCTAGAGCATCTTGAACCCTTTTAACCTTTCTTTCACATTCCTCTCCAACATATAGCAGGTTCAACATTTGCCTCACACATTGAATTTTGAAACGAGGATCAAGAACATCAACAATTGAAAGTATCAAAGAATAATCTTCCCAATAATTCTCAAATTTGTCCAGCATCATTGACGCCATTTCGGCAAGCTTAGGTTGTTTATGCGCTTGAGTGATAGAATACTCAATGAAAAGAACATTCTCAAAATACAAGTTTGATGTGGGATATTGAGAACCAGAAAATAAAGTGGTAATATTATAAAATGGATGCAAAAAGTCGCACACATCTTGAAGAGTATCCACTCATCATCAGAAAGTTTATAATCAATACCCAAAACTCTGTTGATATAAGATTTCAGTGCAGGTTTAGTTTGTAAAGATTTTTGGAGCATTGTATAGGTGGCATTCCATCGAGTAACAACATCAAGACTTAATTTTCCATTAAACACACATTCAGTATCAACAACAGCTTGCTCAAACTGACACAACCTAGAATCATATCCATCTATATACTTGACCACTTCACGCAACTTAACAACACTTTCATCAACAAATTCTAAACCTTTCCTAACAATCAAATTCAAGACATGAGCACTACAACATACATGAAAAATTTGTCGTCACAAGGAAGTGGGGAACAATTCATGACATCTTTTCTAAGATAATCCACCATCAAATCCATAGAACGAGCATTATCAACAGTCATAGAGAAAGCTCTATATTGCAAGTTCCATTCTTTAATCAGATTAAAAACAAACTTTTCTACTTCAATACCAGAATGCGAAGGATGGCAATATCTAAAATTTAAAACTTTAGACTTCAGATTTCAATCATTGTCAACATAATGAGCCGTCAAAGTAAGGTAACCGCGATTAGTGCAAGAAGTCCACAAATCACAAGTAAAACTGACCTTACCACCAATTTTACTCAAAGTATCAAACAACATAGCTTTGCATTTATCATGCTCACAAATACAATATCTAAGAATAATGTTCCTACTCACATGTTTCACATTTCTATTCAAGTAGGTAATCTCTTCTCTACAAAATTCATGCTCGACAATTCGTAAAGGATATGCATGACAAATAATAGCTGTAGCCAACTTACTTAACCAAAGTTTTTGATCAAAAGAAGAGATAGAATTATCAGAAGCAGAACCTTCTTTAGGTTTAAGCTTACATATATCATGATGATGTCTACATGTTGAAGTACCCATGACTGAGTTAGCTTTGATAACCACTCCACAATATTTACAAGTAGCATAGGTGGTGGGTTTTTTTTTAGTAGTGCTATCAACTGGTGTTTTACCATCAAGTATCTCAGTAAGAGTGAAATGTCTCCAAACGTCTGATCTTCGTCCACCTTTAGAAATACATCCACTACCTTGTGCAATTCGTATGATTGGGGGCGTCACAGTAGCAGGTTGAATCTGAACTGTTTGATTTCGAGATTCCATTGTTTCAAGATATGTGTACCTCTCATCATTAGACTCCTCAAATCCACCATACATTACTATAAAACAATTAGACAAAATAATAATTAATAACATAAAATAAGGAGCAATTATGTGTAATAGCTTTGTCACAAACTCACATTCTAATTCAAAATAAAAGAACAATTATCTTAGTACTTAGAGGAGAAAAAGAACAATAATCTTAGTAAAAGAAATAAAGCAAGTTATCAACCAATACAAAAAGAATAGGATGCAAGGATAGCAAGACAATTGTTACTCAAAAGTATTTATGCACTTTGATATGCCCAAAAGGTACCAAGACCCAATCTTAGATTAGGGAATTGATTAACTAAAAGTCCATCTTTATACTACTACTCCTAATCTACGCACTACACTTCTTTTTTTTTTTTAATGAAAAAAAGAGGTTATATTAACTTAAATAAAAACCAAATACAACCAAAGTTTCCAATGTAGCAAAGGAGGCAGCAGACTATACCACCCACCCATAAAACCCTAATACAACATCAAATGGTAGAAAGAAATCCAACTTACATAAATACAGAAAATAGCAACTAACAAAACAAAAAGGCAAAGAGCTACTACTAGCAGAATTGCAGCAGGGGACGAGACCTCTCTAGTTTTCACTTCCATTCAAATCACTACTACGCACTACACTTCAACCAACAAAAAGTATAAAGTATTAAACTAAGTAAATTGAATGTCAAAATAACCAACCACTGTAAAACAAAGTCAATTTCACAATTAAAAAAGTTAAATTATAAAGATAGTAGTAAACGATGATTAAACAACTAGGATAGACATAAGTCATGTAAATCGAGGGTTAAACAACCCAAAAACAACTAGATCTGAACATATACGTCATATTTAATTCTAATGCCATCGATTTTCACACTAATATTACTTAAACATTTAAATAGGGAAAAAAATGATTTTTTTTATTATACTTTAAAGCCTTAAAAAAAAGATCGAAATATACCTTGATTATGTGGAGGAGAAGAGACGTGAATCGTGATATGGGCGAAATGAGCTGAGAGCTGATGAAATATACCTTAATTTTTTTTTTGCAGAGAAATGAGTGGAGAAGAAGGTCAATTTTCTTTCTTTTACAAAGAGGGTCACTAGTTCTAGAGAGAGAGGGGTGGAATATTGAATGGGAGTGATGAAGGCGGTTTGAGGTGGATGAATTAGGTTAACAAGATCAAACAAGTGGTCATATATATATGGTGGGCCTTATTGGGTCATTCTATAAAGTAGGGTCATTTTAGGTGGGAATTTTCCCTCCATCCAAAACTCTACTACGTACTCACTCTTTTTTTTCTTTTAATTTAAATCATTAATTTATCAACAAATTTATTTATTGATTTATTTGTGTTATCTAATTATTAATCTATTTAATATTTCCAAAAAAAAAAATTAAAGTCATGTTTTAATTTATTTAATAAGGAAACTATAAAAGTAACTAATAAGGAGTTTGTAAATAAAAAAAGTAACTAATAAGGAGTTTTTTCTTACAAAAAAAGTAGAATATAAGGAGATTATGACTAAATAACTACTATAGCGTATTTATGATCAGATCAATTATAACCTTAGTGATTCAAATTCATTAACTGATCAACTTAACATGTATAGTCATTTCTCGATTTTGACCCGATATGATACAGATTGTATGACAGTGTAACACAACTCGATTACGACTTGAGTTAGCTCAAATGTACTAGCTTATTATATTTTCTTAAGAAACTAACTTACTATAATTAGTAAATCGCTAATTAAAACAATATATAAATGCAACTATCCTATTACCTATTACTATAAGCCTATAACTTTACAGCGTATTATGATCCGACCAATTATAACCTTATTGATTCAAATTCATTAACTGAACAACATAACATGTATAGTCATTTCTTGAGTTTGACTCGATATGATATATATTGTATGACAGTGTGACACAACTCGATTATGACTTGAGTTGGTTCAAATGACTCACTTTTTCTCATTATTATTAGATCAATCCATTTTATTAATGACTGGTATAGTCATAATAGTTAACCCAATGTGTTTATGACTCAACTTGTTCTAATTTGATATCTATCCATTCAAACTTGTTTAAGTCTCTAGTTGATTTCGATCCGATTTGAATTCATGAATGACCTAATAAACCCAATACTTTATAACTTGACTCGATTAAAGCATTAGTGAACTTATTTGTTTAATTTACTATGACAATATTCAATCAACCCAATTTGCTTTGTGACCCCTATTAATTGTGAGTTTATGACTAAACCCCTTCTAATGTGCTGCCTGATTACCCTAATGTGTTTATGATAAGACCGATTACAACCTAACCCGTTCTTTCCCATTATCTAATTAACCAAACTCGATAATGATAAGAATAGATTTTTAGCCGATATGATTTATGACCCATTTTCAATTTAATCCAAATCGATTATGACTAGAACCAATAATGACCCTGCCCGGTTTTAGCCCAGCTGTTTTGAACTGAAAATTGTTTTCAAAGTGACACAATTTAACCCAAACCGATTATGACCTAAACCGATACTGACACGGCCTGATTTACCTAATTAGTTTTGAACCGAAACCTGTTTCCAAACCGACATATTTCAACCCAGACCGATTATGAACTAAACCGATAATGACCCAAACCAATTTCACCCGATCTGTTTTCAAACTGAAACCCGTTTTCAAACCGAACCAGTTCAACCCAAACTGATTGTGACCCGAATCGATAACAACCCGATCCGATTACGACTCGATCTATTTTGAACCGAAACCCGCTATAAACTGGCAAAACCTGTTTTCAAACTGACCCAGTTCAACCCAAACTGATTATGACTTGAACCGATTACTACCTGATCTGAATAGAAACCGCAATAAATATAACCAAACTGAACCGACCTGATAATTTTCAAAACCAATCCAAACCGAACCGTTGTTAATTTTAAACCATTAAAACCCGACCCATTATAACCCGAAACCGATAAACCCAACCCAAAACTGAACCGTTTACCCAAATTGACACCCCTGAGTGTATATATATGTGTTTTTGTATGATCATATGATTAAATTAATATGGTAACTCTAATATATCTATAATCTATAATACTATTTTAAAACATGAAGTTGGACGAACATGTGTCCTCTTCTTGTTTTTTAATTTCTGATTAAAAAAAAAGTAATCTAGTGCCTTTACAAATATCTTAATTTTCAAACTACATTCTTACATGAAAATTGGTCATTGCCTTTACAAAAAAAAAAAAAAAAAAAATAAAAATAAAAAAAAAATAAATAAATTGATGATGCCTTTAAAATAATGAAAAAAAGTTGATCATGCCTTTACAAAACACAAAAAAAAAAATATTTTTTTTTTCAAACTAACTATAGATTTAAGTTTAATCGTTATTTTAAAACAATTGTATGAAAGGAAAATTTTTCAATTACTACCGCATATTAAAGCGACTTTGAAAATTACTACCGCGAAATAAAAAACTTGTGATTTACTACCATATAAACTTTAAAAAATTTAAAATTACTAACAGCCTCCATTTTAAGTCCTTTATGACGTCACTAACCCACGTTAAACCCATGGTTAAGCAATTTAAGCACCTAAAAAAATTAAAAATAAAAATGAACCAACCCATGGTTACCCCCCTTAACTACCTTAACTAAACCTCCCCCTTCATTCACTTCTGGTTTTTCAGAAAATTCACCATTTGTTAAATCTCTCCAAATTAAAGTTTTTTCTCCAAATCGAAGATTAGTTCTTCCAATCTACCCTCAGGTAAATTTTTAATTTCTATAATTTTGCTATCATTAATGATGTTTAGCTGTTTTCGATTCTAGGGTTCATCAAAGTTTAAGGAGTTTTCAATTTAGGGTTTTTTGTTTGCAATTTTGATTGATTAATTTAGTGCTATTGCATGTAATTTTCTTTGAATTAAACTTTGATTTAAACATAATAAGTGATTTAAGTTTCTTTTTTTTTCCTGTTTAGATGTTTAGAAGGGCAAGGATAGTGGGTTGGAAATGCAAGTGTGGGTTGAATGCTTCAATTATGAAGTTCTGGACCAAAGAATACCCTAGTAGGAGGTTTATAGCTTATCTAGATTTTAATGCAGAGAATAATACAAGGGGATGAACATATTTTGTTTGGTATGATGAAGAAATGACTAATCGGCAAAGGGACTTAATTTTGGGGTTGTTGGAAGAGAAGAAATCAATTAGTTTGGAGAATCAGTATCTGAAGAAATAAATTGTTGATGCAAATCTTAATGCAAGGAAGATGAATACTCAATATATGATGCTGAAAATGAGGCACACAGGTGCAGATTTAGGGGTTGTTTTATTCATTAGCTTCCTTGTTATTGTCATTGCATTGGTTTTGTATGGTGTGTTGTAAAGTAGGTTGTGTTGTTGTTGGGAGCTGGTTTATGTAGTTGTTAGCAAGTAGTTTACGCTAGTGTTAGTGATGATGGTAAATTAGTTATGTAGGGTATGTTAAGGCCAAAATAAATTGTAAGAGATTTGGTTTTGAATAAAATGCAAGATTATTGACTTATCTATTCCCTCTGTGTGTTTTTTAGTGTTACAATTTGACCAAACACACATGTTGAGACATGACTTTGACCACTAATTTATCTTATTATATGTTAGGAAAATTATAGGGAATTTGATATTATGAAAGCATACATTATGAAGAATCCAACAATAATATATTGTACAATAACATTTTTTTTCTTTAGAGTAGTAAACTAATCAAGTCCAAACCATTATGTGAATAGTAAAAAAAGTCAAAATGTAACGCTTAAAAAAAAATACGGAGGGAGTATTTTTTTTTTTTTTGTGTTTATGCTTAAAACTGTAGCATAGATTGATATAGACAAATTGCATCAATAATCAAATACTTAAATACGTAAAAGTAGTTAAAGGTTGTTATAAAAGTTGGAAAAATGTGATGTATTGTCAACAACTTGTACCACAAATTAGGTAAAGCAAATTTGCAAATTACAAAAGTGAAAAGTTACCTGAAATTCCTAAGACTACATTTGCATAAAAAGACTTAATTTCCTACATAATGGCTTTGGCTACTTTGGTATTGGGAGGGGCCTACAGAGGTAATGTTTAAAGCTTGAGAAGATATGTCCACCACTGCACAAAGTCCTGCGTTGGTTGTTATGTTGTTATTTGTTTCTGCTGTAAAATGAACAAAAAAAAAATCATGAACAAAATTTAGGGAAAAAAACGAAGTGTTGTTCCAGATATGTCTCCAGCAATATCTAACTTCAGCTTTTGGCGCAACAACTTTAAATGCTTAAAGTAGTCCCCGCAAAATTGAACAACAAATTAGGGTTAACTAAACTCACTTAAAAACAATAGAAATAAAAGGGAGAAAGAACAATGAGATGCCTAATTTCTGTTTGTCTGACATGAAAGTATAACTATGTCCATTAATTGTCCGAAGAGCAGAAGCCAATAAATCCAAAAACCATATCTAGGAATTTGTATTCTCAACCTCAACAGCACCCCTAGCAAGAGGAAAAATGTTGTTATTCCCATAAGATGCTACAACAACTAAACAAATTCCTGGATGTGCTCCAGTTATATGACACCCTTCTAATCCTATCAATGGCTTACATCCTATTTGAAACCCTTCCATGACAGGTATCAAGCAAATGAACATCCTTTAAAAAATTGGTGGTGGTCTCTCTATGTTGTCACACATACATATTGCCATACTCCCCTCATCGTACTTCTTAATGGCACCAACATAGTCTCAAACAACCTTATATTGCTCCACCCCATTACCATACAATATTAACTATGCTCTAGCCATATCATACAACAATTTGTAATAACCACGGAACACTCTTGTCTTCCTCAACACTCTCTCACCAAAACTCTTTGTGAGTTGCCAATCTTGGCCACTTCTCCAATCCTCAAGGTATCAGTTCTATAGGTGTGCTTGAGCCTCATTCTTGTGATCACAAATGTATCTTCCAACCTTTTCTTTTTCCTAAAACTTTGAAGTCACAAAGTACTTCTCCACAAGTACAAGCTGCTTCTTAGATCTTGTAGGATCCTAAGGGCACTTGCACCTTTTCTTACAATAAGTGGTGACTACTTTCTTCCCATAATGAAGATAGTAGTAATAATTTTGTGATAAGAAACTTCAAAGTGAAGTGAAGTTTGGGGAGTGTAGACACCCATTTGTGTCTCCCCAAAACCGAACCCAGTGATGAGTACCTTTCACGTCGAATCATAATCGAATGAAGTGAAAGTGTGGAAAGGTCTAGTGTTGCGGAAAATTTTTATTTC